GGGGTTGGAGGCCGGCCGGGAGGCGCCGCGCTGGGGAGGGGCTTGGTCCCCTGGCCAGGCGCCTGCCTCCCAGTATCCAAAGGGAGGCCCCGCGGCTGGCGGCTGGGGCTGGAGCACGGCCCATCTGGCGTGGCTCAGAGAGGGTGTGTGGCCGGCGCGGGTCACACAGCGAGCCGGGGCAGACAGAAGGCACCGCCACACTACGCTGCCTCCCCTTCCTGGGCTGTGCCTCGGTCCCTCAACGGAAGTGACCTGCGGCCAAAACCGGTTTTGCTCAGTGGATAGAGCGTTGGCTTGCGGACTGAACGGTCCCAGGTTCGATTCCGGTCAAGGGCATGTACCTTGATTGCGAGCACATCCCCAGTAGGGAATGTGCAGGAGGCAGCTGGTGGATGATTCTCTCTCATTGATGTTCCTAACTCTCTATCCCTCTCTCTTCCTCTCTAATAAATCAATAAAATATATTAAAAAAAAAAAAAAAGGAAGTGACCTGCGGGGGCGTCTAGGGAGCCCCAAGAGGAGGGCCGGGGGCTGGGCGGCAGTACCTTGCGCAGGCCGCTGAAGGGCACATCCAAGGGCAGCGAGAAGAGGTTCTCCACAAACTGCTCGAAGGTCCGGGACAGCTCGGCGCACTGCGCCTCGTCCAGCCGCAGCCCCAGCAGGATGCGCGCGGCCATGCGGAAGGTCAGGGCTTTGGCGGCGTCATAGACGGCCACGGGCCGGCGGGCCGCGCACCAGGCGCGCACCTCGCGCCGCAGCGCCCCCTGCAGGCGCGGCACGTAGCGCTCCAGCGCCGCGCGGCTGAACACGCGAGCCAGAACCTGCCGGGAGCGCGAGGGGCGTGTGAGCCCCGGCCGCGCGCGGGCCGGCCTCCTCGGCTCGGCAATCGCAGAGGAGCCAAAACGCCCATGTGGGGACCTTCCTCTTCTAAGTGGCCCGGCCCTACACGTGATGGCTTTTGCTCTCCCCATTCCCTCTAGTTCTTTTCTGATGTACAGTCCCCCCACCCCCACCCCCACCAAATGCATCCAACGCCCCCGCCCCCAGCTCCCTCCAGCTGCCTCTCCCTCGAAGAGGAAGTTGTCCCCAGCTCCTCTCCAAGGCTGTTTCCAGCGCTTCTGGGAGCTCAGTTACAGAAGATCGGAGATAAAAGCACCTCTAAGTCCCAGTATCGGCCTTAAAAACCGAAGTCGGAGAAGGTGAGGCACTGGTCCGAGGCCACCCACTGATTGGCCAGAGGTTCCGGCCAGATTCGTAGTGTACCCCTAACCATGAGTCCGGGCCTCGCCCACGGCAGGTGCCGAGGCACCCACCGCGGGTCTGAGGTCTCCGGTGTTGGCTCACCTGGCGCCGCCGCCGGTGCGGCTCGCCCACCGCGCCGAGCAGCGTGTGCGAGCCCAGCAGGATGTGCGCGCTCTGCGGCCACTGGCTGCGCACCAGGCGGTGCTCGCCCAGCAGGATGGTGCGCACGTTCTCGGCGCCGCTCACGCGGACCACCGGCCGGCCCAGCAGGTGCGTCTTGAACACCGTCCCGTAGCGCTCCCGGCGGGCGCTGTGGAAGCGCGAGCCCTGCGGGGGCGCGGCGGAGAGGAGAGGGCTGGGGCCGCGAGGGACCTGGCCCACACCTCCCCTCCGCCCCTGGGCAACAAATCCCTGCTTTTTTAAAAGACTCAAAGGGGCCTCACGACTCCCCTATAGGAGCTTAGATGGCCCTGCTCCCATGGGTGAAATGAGGAAAGATGTTAGAACGGGGATGGTCAACACCCAAGGGGTCCCTCCCGGCTGAGATGCCCCTGACTCCTGATTCTCAGCTTGCAGTTCCTAGGTGGCATGCCCCTCTGGCTCCTTCCTAGAGCCCTTCTGTTCACCCCCACGATGTGTTGGGAAGAGTTTAAGTGGCGTGATGGCAGTCCTTTCGAGGGAGCAGCTGGGCTGGCCGAAGGCGAGCGCGATGGATGCTCAGTGGGCAACGGGAAAGACAGGCCACGAACCCTGGGAGCACTGAGAGCGAGGAGGGCTCGATGGGAGCCAGGGTTCGAGAAGGGGCCATCTCGGACTGCTCACCTGAACTAGCCAGTGCAGCGTCTCGCCGAAGAAGGGCCAGCCCATCGAGCCCTTGGGCAGGGGCAGGGCGGAGGCGCGGTCCCGGCTCAGCATCCAGCGGAGGGTCCAGAGGAGCTGGGCCAGGCCGAGCAGGAGGCCGGCGCACAGGAGAGCGGTGCCCGCCGCGCCCAGCACGGACAGGCAGCTCAGAGCGCAGGGGAACATGGCGAGCACGCAGGGTGCCAGGCAGCTCTGGGCGCAGGGGCGCAGGAGCCGGGGCGCAGGCAGCGCGCAGAGCTCACCAATTCTGCCCGGAAAGGTCCTGTGGCTTGGGGGCCAAGACCGAGAGCTACAACCTGGGACCAGGATGTCGCTCTCAAAGCAGACGGCAGTGACCATACGCCTTAGGGAACGTGCCTCCCCGGGGCCCGCACACTGGGGATTTTCCCTCTCGGATGGGATGCAGGCCGCTTTGGACCGCGCGCGCCTGGCATCTGCGGGCACCTCCCACCTCCTCCCGGGGCCAGGACTGCCTCCTCTGGCAGAAACAGCAAGGGGGGAGCAGAGGGGAGCAACTCACCGGCGCTGCCAGCCTGGGCTTCAGTCACCAGGGCTGTGGACCACCGCCCCCTCCACTCTCTCCCCCGTTCTGTTGACTCCTCCCCGCCCACCCGGCACAGTTATATAGACCCCGGCTCCCTCCCCACGGACGGATCGGAGGCACCGAAGTGACGCGCCTTGCATATTTAAAGCGCTCTGCGTAGGGCACTGATTGGGCGGTGGGCTGAGGGGGCTCGCCGAGGGCCCAGGGGCTTGGGGCAGGCTGGGCGGGGCGGCTGCAGCGGGACCGCGGAGGGACCTGCAGGAACACTCGGGTCTCGGGTTCCAGCCAGCACTTGCTGGCGGCGGGAGCTCCGAGGTGGGCAAACAGCGCGCACTGAGCTACGGGCGCGCAAGCTCTCTCCCTGGGTGGAGTCCGCACCGTCGAGCTTCTGAGTGCCCCTTCCCCTCGCAGTGCTCATAGCTCAGCTTCCCTTTCGGAGGGGAAATTGCGGATTTCGACGCCATCAGAGGCTTCGCAAGCGCCTACAAAGATAGCCGGGATGGAGAGTCTCCTATATCCCCCACTCCTTCCGGCCTCTGATCTACCGCTTCACGAATCCTTCAAACGATGTCGGGTTGCTAAGTGGTTAGAGCGCATGCCCGAGCACCCAAGGGTCTCAGGTTAGACTCCTGGTCAAGGGCACGGTACCAGGGTTTTTAGGTTTGATCCCCAGCCAGGTCGGGGGCGTGTGGGAGGCAACCAATGGATGTGTCTGTTTCACATCGATGTTTCTCTTTCTCTTCTTCAAGGGTGAGGATAAAATAAAATAAAAAGATGGTCCTGCCATTGTGGCCCCAAGCCAAAGAGAAGCAGATAACCCAGCGCTCCTTTGCGGTCTCAGGGACCACATTCACCACCTCCTTCCCCTTCGGCGTCCCCTGCCCCAGTCTACAGAGTTGCTTTCCGCTTTGCATTGCAGAGCTCCAAATGCAGCCGCTCTCCCAATTTGGGACCCCTCGCCCAAGCCCATGCCCTGGAGGGCTGGGTAAGGCACACCATCGACACCCACATTCCAGTCTTCAAAGAGAGCTAGCTAGCTAGCTGCTCTACCCTCCTGTAGCAACTTCTAAGAATTACCTTGTTTTCCATGCAAAGTTTTACAAGTGTGAAAAACCTTAGGATAAGAGATGGTCAAAAGAACGTTTATTTTGTTTTAGTGACACCCGATTCCAATAACTAGGGAATAATACCCTTTCCAAACCAAGCAGTTGTTTTAAATCAAGGAGCTCTGAATAGATGCTCACTTTCAATAACTTGCTCAACCTCTTTTATATTTCATCACAAAATCAAGAAATGTACATATAATCCTTTACACTTATTTTACAGAGTCAAATGGAAGTTTCTTATAGGCATAAATCCTGAAAATGTAAAAGGAGCACTCAGCATAAATACAGTGACGAGAACATAAGGATCAGACTGCTGTTTCCATTTGTACTGCGGTCATTTACACAAAGGAAAATGTATATTCGTTTTAGGTTTTCTAGAGTTCATTTGGTTTGGCTTGTTGCCAAGTGAGGGTCCGGGAGGGAGACCTGGCATTTGAAGGCAGTAACCTGACCCCTGTGTACCTTGTGTGCAGGAACACAGCTACCGTCGCACAAGCTGCACCTGAAGTGGTTACCCCACTTACTTCCTGTCCTCTCTTTTAACTTGACCCAAACCAAATAAATTATGGAATGGGGTCAGCTGCAGACAATATAGTTAGAAATATTACCCCGACTGAACAGAAACATTGCATCTTGAGAAAATCCAAACATTTGTCTTCATATTCAGAATGATTACATTAAGCCACCCAAGGAGAACAAATAATTCACATTCTTACTGGGTTAAATCAAGGTTGATTTCAGGGACCTTTAAAGATTTACCTGTTTCCCCCTCAGAATCAGCAGAATTAGAAAATTTTTGTCCACTTAAATTATATTTAGGTGAAAGTAAAAGCTAAAAGTCAGAAAATGACAGTGAAACAGTCCCATATCAGACATGATTGCATTCCAAAACCAGATACCGATGGAAAAACAAACCAAACTATCATTCAAGTCTGAATAAAAAAAGATATGCAGAGGCATAAGTTTTTCTAATGTATTTACAATCAGTTTCATATACAATTTTGACCTGATTTACATATATTTTTAAAAGTGAAAAATTAATGTCACATTTTCCATATATAAAATAGTATTCAATTATTTAAAAACCCATACAAATGATATTTATTACTGTCTCTCATTCCAGCTCTCATCAGCGTCTTTTCTTTCTTTCTTTTTTTTTTTAATTCTGCAAAGGGCAGCTACCACAGCCAGTTAGAGATAATATTCAATCACGAATCTGGTGTCACCGAGTGCGAGGGACGTGAAGTCTATGTGTGCTGGGACATACCGTTCGCCAAACTCCGCAGCTGCTTCATGACTGTCTCTATCAACTTCTGTTTGTCCCGGTCATTCTTCCTGAACTGAGCAAATATATTGTTCTTTTTGCTGGTATCCTTCATCCTAGGAACACATGTGAATGAAGAAGCTTAGTAAAAGAAATCATAAGCTATGCTGTCACAAGTAAAGTATCCTGGGGGACTCTGAATTATCTAACATTAAGCTTATGCTTGAAAAATATCTTTCAAAGAAAAGAAGTACTAAGAGAATTAGGGAAATAGGTACCACACAAAAAAATTAGCAGTTTTATTCTACATCCTCTATAAAGGGGTATTTTTGCATTAGTATATAAATCTAAAGTATATTATTTTCTAATATTATACTATTTTCTAATACCATTCCATAAGGTATGCTAATATACATACACTCTATTAACTGCAAATTACAATCATAGCAAGGCAAAGTAAAAAGAAAAATAACCTTAGAAAATTTAAAGCAGCAATTTTTTTTATTTTTTTTTGCCTCAGTGGTGTTTCATGGTATTGTAAAATAAAGTTACATGTATTTTAAACAGTTTTTTCCTCCCAAGTAAAATACACCACAGACATTTTGAAATGTGGGGAAATAATATACACTTTTAATTCAACAATTAAATTTTAATAGTGATACTTAAAATGAAATATATTGAGTAAAAAAAAATCTGCCACATAATTTGGCAGGATCTAAATTTGTATTATTTTTAATTGGACAAGATACACCAGTAAGTGTCCTGTTACTTCAGCTTTTACTGTATTACTTTTTAAATCACATGCTTCTCTGCTACAAAGAACCCAGGCCCATACCGGTGGGGTTTGGTAGCACTCACTGGTGGCAGACATTCCAATTGCTACCCACAATTTACAAAATAGCTTCTTTCGGATGTTATAGCATAAAAAAATATAGTTCCAGTTCTTCCCTGTCTCAAGTAAACACATTTCTAAGGGCAATGAAGCCTGTTATTGAGAGTACAGTAGGAAAAACGTTTTGTTCATGTTAACATAAATAGCAATCTCATACACTAACATTAACGGGCGAAAAAGAGGCTTATGTTTTGGTCATTAAAATGGACTGAGCCTTTAAGCTCCCTTTAGACATTTCTCTTTTGATGGAAATCTCTAGTTCTTTAATCACTGAGTCACAAAATGCTAAAAAATTATGTAAAAAAGTTTTCAGAGTATACTCACTTCTCCAAAAGAGTAAGGGCTGTGTTTGGATTCACTCGGAGGTACTTAGAAGCTGGCTGTCCATAATCAGCTAGATAAGTAGACCAATCCCAAACCATAAACAGGTCAAGGAGCTGAGAAAGATGGGGAAATGTTAAACCAACTTTTAGCTGCTTACTTACAGCTAATACATAAGTATACACCACTCTAAATTCACTGTAAGATGGCCTGCTTCTTACATAAAACAGAATAAGGAAATTCCCTTTTGAAACTTCATTAACTGCACTTTATAATCAAAATGGTATTTACTATCTTTTTACTTTTAAAGTCATTAATATTGTCAGGGGTTGCTTTTTAAATAAAATACTTGACTGCATTTTGAAATAAGTATAAAATGAAAACAGTTAATATTAACTATATTAGGTACAGAGATTTAAGCTTTATACATTATTCGTTTCATACTCAAATTTAATAAATAAGGTTTGGTGAAGAATGTTAAAGAACTTAAATTTAACCTTTTCTCTTAGAGGTTAAGTATGTTTACCTTTCTAAGAAGCCATTTGCATCTAGACTTTCCCAAAGTAATTTAAACCAAAAGCTCGGATAATCTCAATTAAGTGCATTAAACAACCTCTGCTGGATTCTCCCTGGTGATAGATCCTCAGTAGTCTTATGAAAGGAGGGCTTCAGGACTCAGCATGTTAACTCTAGGCAATCATTTTGTATAAACAAACAACAACAAAAAAAGAAACCCTCTTGTTTTCTGTAATGTTTTAAAATCGACTATTTGCTTTATAATCTCCAGTTAGGACTGTTGTCAAATATGGAAGTAATCTTTTAAAAGCAATGCCCTGCCTAAACCAAAGCACCAAACTCCTTATCCAACTTTAAAACCCTAATCCCCTTTAAGCCATTTAAAACCAACTTCCTATCCCCATTTGAATTGTTTTAGAAAGCTAAATGCTTTACTTACTACCTTCCTTCAGTTTTTATATTATCCCTTCATTTTTGTTTTAACTCAGAAGTATACTGCTTTTGCTTTTAAATGAATGAAGCATTTGCATTTACTCATATGCCATTCTATTCAAGCCAACCCACTAACGGTGAGAGGAATAAAACTTCTGGGGAGGTTCAAACCTAAAGAAAGTTTACAAGAAACTAGCTCTTCCTTTGGAAGATAATGGACTTGTTTGACTTTTTCCCCATCCAACAGACAGCTACGAATAGAGAATTTCTTGTAAAAGGAGGAAAATTCTATCATGAAAATATTAAGTACCAATATTAAAAGCCACTCTATTCTTTCTTCAGACAACATTCTAGGCCATACCAAAATCTAAAACATTGGAACAGAAACTACACTGGTACAAAGTTAAAAGAATATACTATGTAAAAAAAAGAAAAGGGAACTTATTTAAAGGTCTGTGTAATTTTTGACTGTTGCAGCAAGTACTTTTCCTTCCTTTCCCAAGGAAGAAAAGTTACTTTCATATTTTCCCATGGTGAAAATGTAAATTTGTGTAACTTTTCTGCAATGTGATTTTGTTAAGTGTTTAAGAAACTTATAGAAATGGTCATTCTCTTTGATTCAGTAATCATACTTACAGGAATTTAACTCTAGGAAACAATAATAAAGATGGACAAAAAAAGTATGAGCAAAGATATTAATCTCAAAAATGTTATTTGTGTTATCAAAAAACTGAAGGGAAAAAAACCTGAAAACAGCCTAAATATCAATATTAAGATAATGATTAAATAAGAAGATGTATCTATAAGACAATTATGCTATTATTAAAATTGGTCTACACAGAATTTTAAGCAGCTTGGGAACATGCTTATAATAAAATTACTACTGAAATTACATAAAGACCCATCTAAAAAGACTGGAAGAAAATTTGAGAAAATGTTCTGAATGGCTGTTATTCATGTGATGGGATTATGGGTAATGAATGTATTGTCTTCTTTATTTTCATAATATTTCACAATGGAAATGTATTAACTCTAGAGTTAGAAATAAGGTTTACATATTTATATGTTAAATTTCGATAATGACTACTCCTCACAGAGGCGTTAACAAAAGCCTCATTTTGAAGGATTCCTCTTCAGGTTAGGTATGTGTTTGCACAAGTGTGTGTGGGCATGCGCACAGTAAGCAGAAAGTAACACTTAATAACTGTATACTGGCTGTAATCTCCCTTTCTTTCCAGAAGGCATTAGCAACATGACCTTTGGGATTTGCAAGAGGAAGAGGCCTTAAAATAAGTCTGTTTTTCTCTTGTGCAGATCTACCCCCAGGTGGGAAAGGAGGAGCCCTCTTAATTAAAAACCTACACCAACTCCAACTGTGAATATAGAACTGGTTCTTCTTCGGCACCAACACAGAGTTTCCTAGATAAAGACATATTATACTTACACTTTTCACAGATAGCCAGACAATCTTATGCAAATCTCTTACCCCTAGACATTACAGGAACCACAAAATTTAACCTATCTGCCCACATGTAGACAAATCTAATCGACATGCTTTCAATTTTACACTAATACTTCATAGAACTATATATAGTGGCAAGTTAACTTGAAGACAGCTATGGAGATCTGCATAAATCTGCACATTAATGGTGAAGGAATATATTGCCAATGTGGATAAAAGGCTAAGCACCTAGATAACATTCATTTATTCATTCAACAATATTGAGGGCTCACCTACAAGGAGGCAGCGAAGTAGCATCTGTGTTAGGCATCAGGATATAGTATTGAACAAGACAAAGTCCCTGACCTCAAAGAGTTTACATGATATGTGGAGAAGGTGGAGAGGCAGACAGTTAACAAGGAAACAAGTAGTATTTTGATGTTAGTATGAAGAAATTATTTTTAAAAAACTATTCACACAAAACCCTAGTATTTTAAACTACCATCACACATAAGAAAGCTACTATCAATTTAATATTAAGTAAGACAGAGACTACTGATTTATGTAGCAGCCAAATTGCTCATTGTTCTCAGCCCATGAATCCAGTGGCTGTACACCTGAGCACCATTTCATTGTCTATGTGCTAAGGTTTACATGGACGTGGGTGGAGAGGAGATATGGGGCCAGCAAGCATGCTGATCTCATATTCTGATTTCTCATTTTCATAGGTGTAAGGATTTTTCAAATGCACCACACTGCATCAATAAGTAAATAGAAACAAACAAGGCAGGAAAATGCATAAGTGTCAACAGAGATATTCAGGGAAAACTGGCTGATTGATGATGGCAGACCACTATTCCAAGTTTACTTAGGCTTTTTTCTTAGGCTTCTCGAGTACAAAAATGAGCACCCTCCAGCTCCCTTTGGCTGTGTTGACAGCTCTCTGAAAAAGGCCCATGTTGGCCTGCAGGCAGACAGGGGCCAGTGAACGCAGACAACTGACTTCCCCATCTCTCCCAGGATTTGACTGGAGCAAGGATAAAGCCAGATTCCCTCACAAGAAAGCCCTGGGTCTAATGTTGAATGTGTTACACGTTCTCCCTAAAGAGAGAAACACTAATATTTCTGAATGGTCTTCCCGTATCCCTTATCCATAATTATAAGGTCCTTTTTCATTTAAAAAAAATTTTAAATGAGAATGTTATGGAACAAATGCTATACCAGGCCGATTGATGGACCGAACCCATTTCTTTAGATTGCTACCCATGCCTGCTTTGACTAAGATGCATGATCTCTGATCTTTGGGATAGTTTAAAAGAACATGACTGCTCTGGAGCCAAAGTGTGACAAGAGGGGATGAGGAAACGAGAGTGATGACAGGTACAACCACTGACACTCACCTTCACTCCACACAAACAGTCAGCGCCTTGGGACCTGCCTCAGGTTTCATGAGATGCACTACATCCTTAATAGTAAAACCTTACTGTGGAAAACCTCATTTCTCTGTCTCGAGTTTTGCTTCCGTAAGATGGCAATACATAAACAATACACTCGCTATTAATCACACCAAATCTCTCTCAGTCTTTTAAATAAACAGTAAGACATAGTCTCAACAGGTGAATTTATTATTTAACATATATACCTTAAATTCAAAGATGTAGATCAAATATGAACAAAAACAAAAATCTCCCCTAGATTATCCAAGAGCAATTTTACAATTACTTATTAAAGGATAAAGTTAGGCATATTGTAATGAAAATCGGCATTAAGTTCTATGAATGGGTTTGTTCCAATAGTCAAGTCAAGTAATTCCACCTTAAATCCTTTTGGGAAGTAAGCAAAGTATGGATCATATAAAAATGAACAGCAAAATAATGTGCCTCAGTTCTATCTCATGATTTATAAGATTACCTAAAATTAGTATCCTAACTTTTTTTTCCACCAAGGATTCAAAAATACCCTTCATAACTAATCTGATAACATAAAGTGGATTTATGCCAATATTTGTGAGTTGTAAGTTTCACTTCCTCAGCGTCCCCTGTGGGTGTCCACCAAACAAAAAATTCAGCTTACGGAAAGAAATGGTTGCATGGGTGGTCCCATTTATATGCTCAAATAGTTGAATCACTGAAGAATTCGTCTGAGTCATCACATTTAGTTTGCTGACAGTTTCCCATCCTAAGTCTCACCCTATGTCTACACCCCAGAAACTTGGGGTCTCAGACCTGTTGAGATCACTTTGTGCAAATGACACAATGACTCTAGGCCGGTTTAAAACCATTCTATGGAACTCGAAGTGACTTTTTGCCTTTGTAAAAGTGAACCCAGAGTGCAGGTCATTTTTTCCTTGAATCTGGTTTAGCTTTCTTTGTTTTGGGTCTTTTGGGTTTTGCTTTTGAAGCACCTCAGGGGCAGTGACCCAAGACATAAGATAAATAAAGTTAAGCCAACCTCAAGAGAAAAGCAATTGGGGATACCAGGTTTGCTTTTGTAAATGTGAACAGTGACCTGGGGGCTCAGGGTCAACCTTCGTCCCCCAAAGTCCCTTTTCCTAAACACCAAATCCACCTGGGACCTCAGAGCTGCTTTGCAGATTCCAAAAGTAAACCTGGAGATCGTTTTTCCTTTGCCTCCAAAAAACAAAACCAAAGCAAGGGTTCCTAAGAGGGCTTCTGAGATTTAAACAACACAAAAATCCTAAACCATAATACAGCTTTACGGAAGAAA